CCTAATGTTTTTTCAGGAAAAGATGCCTCCCTGGTAGACACTGAAGTTCGAGCATCCCTCACATCATCCCTAGCCCTACTCATCCATAGATGGTGGATGGTCCTCGTAGATTTTGCATACCGATGTTGGATGACACGAGTGTTCAAGATGCTCGATATATCAAACGCTACTGTGTCTATATGATATTCATTGATATTCATTTGCATTGAGCAGGCTTCATTACGCTAGCTAGCTTCATGCATTTGACTTGACAACGGTTTTGCTTTTGCATCCAGTGGATAGATTGGTCCAGCTGCCTGCATTGTCAATTGCTTCTGCTGACCGGCTGGTATCGTGCACATTTCTGCACCTATATCTTACCTCCACATGGTGAAGGCCTGCTTGGCCGTACTACTAGGAGCAAGAAGCTATTAGGAACAAGTGCATCGCTTCTAGTAACAAGTACCTTACTAGTAGTAACAAGAAGCTACTAGGGGCTCCTGGCCTGCTTGGCCGGTTTCGGCCTGCTTTGGAAGGTCTTTCACCCAGGGCAGGCTGCGTTGAGCTCGGATCCCCCGTGACCGCACCCTCCAGCGACGTTGACTCGATCGGTAACCTGTCATGCTCCCTTCGTAGCGTCGTTCCTAGTAGTGGCCAGCAGCCCCTAGTAGTGTTCTTGCTCCTAGTAGCGATGCCCTTGGCTCCTAGTAACGTTGACGTTGCTCTTGCTCGCATGTGCTCGCGATTCGCCAGGATGAGGAAAGTGCAGGAGGGCACTGCCTCCTTGGCTGAGACGAATCTGGCCTTGGGCAATCGCGGTACACCTCTACACTTTGCGGCCGGGACCTTGGCAATGTTTTTCGGGGATGTCCATGTTTTTGCACGTTCTTGCTGACCTTTTTCATCATTTTTCCCTGGTTTGCACCTCAAACAATTTGTCCTCGAAAAGATTGGACAACAGGAGGTGAAACATGGCAGAAGCTGCAAAGAGTACACAGAATATCACAGAATGCATTAAGATACCCATTCTCAGATTTTGTTTGGCACACCGTTAGTTGATCAGTGATACTCTAGATACTCCAGCGTTCGTGCTTGCTGGTTGGTTCCTCTCATGCGAGTCAGTCCTTTAAGTCTTACATTGAAGGGAAACAGTCTGTATCAGTTGAAGACCCCACCTTGGAAAGTGGAGCACACCTTCTGAGCATTCTGGGACGAAATGGGCTGACAATGATTCTGGGTCTGGCATTCTGAGCCAGGGCCGCCAGGGTGTAGCATTCTCGAAAACATAGAACTGACACGTGAAACGAACAGAACAACGGGACCCCGCGCTTCTCTTGATCGCTTTCGCAGGCGCTGAATGGGTCTTTGGAGATCGCCAAGCTACTCCTGGAGCACAAGGCGAAGCGGACTGGTGAAACACCCCTCTGACGGTACATGGCGAGGGACAAAGATGCTGTGGCTTAGCAAAGACCAATTGATGTGCAAAGATGCTGGTCGCATGTCAGTTAACAACGTTCGACCCAGTTCTTCAGCAACTCTGAGCAGACCCGCCGACGCGTCGGTCCGCCCGTCCGAGGCGGATCCCACGGTGACCTGGGGCAGCCGCCAGTTGACGCCATTGCAGCTGGCGGAGCAACAAGGTGTCTTCCGCAAGCTGGGGTGAAGTGGGGGAAGAGGATCTCCCCCTCAAGGCCCTAAGGAGATGCTCAGAGCTCATTTTCTTTGCATCCTTGCAGGATTTTGCTTATCATATCTTATCATCATGTTCATTACCTCTGCACTACTCGGCTTTCCGAGAAGAATGGCAGCCATCTCTCACCCACCTTCGTGTTCGGAAGGTTCTTTCACGCGGTCACGCAGGTAATCACAGAATCAATGTCTTTCACCAGTCGCTCACTTGAGGTCAAGAAGAATTGGTCAGGTTGCTGAAGATGGCTGAAGAGTCCAACGCTTAGACTGAGCAACTTGAGAGGTCAGAACCGTTCTGAAAAAATGCTGGGCTTTTCAGAATGGAACAAGAAGCTACTAGGGGCTCCTGGCATGTCTACTAGGAGCAAGGACGCTACTAGGGGCTCCTGGCATCGCTACTAGGAACAAGAAGCTACTAGGAACAAAAAGGTCCTCGATTACTCAAATCAGGATCAAATCAGAATGCTGATGACGTCCAATTCAGCTTGGATGGAGACCACTTGTTCTGACATGTTTTGACAACTCCAGTTTGAGGTCTTTGCAAGAGGTTTATGGCTGACCTAGAAAGCTTTCAGGTGTAGTACATCATAGTACATCAGTTGGGCGCTCTAGGGCTTGACCTGCCAGCGATTCTCAGAGCGATCATCCACTGACGCATGTCCACTTCATGTATTAGATTCTTATAGAGGTAGATAAACGTTGTATACAAGTTGTGTATATATATAATTTTATATATACATACACATTATAGTGCATGATCATTGGCTACATTGAATCGCTTGAACTTCGTAAGATTATATCAGGCACTGTGACTGTCAACCTGCATCTGCCCTGGCCAACCGATGCGAATGAGTTGTAACGCTTTGTCTTTTGGCCACCTGATGGCCGTTGTGGTGACGTCAAGCGCATGGTTTCATGCGGTTTGGGTGGTGAAAACCCCACTGAGTGCTTGGAGAAGCTTGTCTGAACGCTAGTGTTTTGATGTGTTTTGTCCCCGGTCTGATGTGCATGGCAAAAGTTCCGCTTTGGTTCTGAAGCTCATGTGAAGTGGCCAGTTGATTGCTGTTTTCTTGCCACTCGGTTTGCTTTCTTCGCCGCGGCAAGATCAAGAGATGCTGTGTAACCACATGTAAGCCACATACTAGTCATGGAAAATACTTTTGGAGAAAACTATATTATATATATATACACATATGAATCTACGTCTACGTCTATATACTGTAAGGACCGCGTGATTCAAGTTTGATTTGTACTGAGGTCAGACCATATTCCAGTGAGTCTTCGCGTTTAGACTACAGCTGAGCTTCGTCAACTGGGGTCCTGGTCTTGACTTTGTTGGCCAAAGCCTTCACCAACCAAAACCACCACAAAGCAATTTTGGTCCAGGTGTGATTGGGAGATTGTTTCTATACGGCAACAAAGTTATGAAGAAAGTCGTTTATTTGATCTAGCAAACGCTTTATTCCCTAGATTGCCATAGTACTTTCTAGGACCTATATAGGACATTTGCATTGTTGACCACACAATTATTAGAAAGACTGCTTCAACATCATCAAACCCAGTTTGCGTTGCTTTTGATGATTGGAATCTACGCCTAGTGACTAGTGTCAACATGACCGGAGATGGCAGAGATGGCCCATCATGGCGCCCTCAAGTCCAGAGAACTCTTGTGCTTGATACGCGAACACCGGAGCCGGAGATGTTTGAGAGCCGGGTCCGTCAGACATTGGGATCGACCGCGATCCAACAAAAATGTCCACCGGCACCTCTGGCCTTCCTACTAGGAACAAGAAGCTACTAGGGGCTCCTGGCCTTTCTCGGTCTCTGGGATCGGTGGTTATTTCTTTGGGCCAAGGCCGAGCAGATCTTGGCCCAACTGGGCTTACCACAGCTCACTAGACTGCTATTCAGGGGCTTCGCTAAGTGCATTCTGCATGGAAGAACAAGGCCACCGTCTTTGGCTTGTCAAGCAACTTCTTGTATCATATCCAATCAACCAAAGTAGTGTTTAGTCTTTTGGCAGTGAACAGTTTTGTATTGCAGTCTTTTTCCGATGTAGCTGTTCCGCCTTTTTCCGATGCGATAAGCCCCAGAAGCGAGAGTTTAGCCATTTTGTACGTGCTTCTGAGAGAGCAACTTTCATCAGGAAGGGGGTCAGTGCCACCCTGCCTACAGCGTGTGTTCAAACCCTCAAGATTGGCTGTATTGCCTGTGAACGACCTCATTGGACAACTCCCCGGGTTCGTTTCTGGACTAGTCTACCCACTGGGCCCGGATCTCCCGAACTCCAAAATTACCCAGCGCAGGGGTCCCTGGATTCTTCACCGCCCAGTGCGAAACCCGGTGTCCCTTTGGGCTGGGACCGGCTAGGAGTGAAGGAACAAAACAGAACAAAACACTGACGAGCAATGCAAAACTGTTTGTTCCAGTTGACTGGTGGACAAGGTTTGGTGCTTTCATTGTCAAAGGGGTAATTCATGGGGCAAAGAATGTTCGGAGTTGCCCTATGCATTGGATTGTCTATCCGACGCAACACTGACATATGACTGTAGTTGTTCAGCTGGCACCAAGTCGTCACAGTCGTCCTGCAACTCCATGCAAGGAACGGAACACCAAGGAACGGAACACGCTGATGCTTGTTTGGCGCACGTCGGATGACGAGGTCAGCTTGAGAAATGCATGACCACAATGCTGATGGAATCCTCACCGTCCGACAATAGTTTTTCATTTGCCAACCGAAGCTGTTGGATCTTCAACTTGCAGCTTGCAGAGCATGTGGGCTTGCCGTGTGGGTCTGGCAGCCGTTCGAGGAATTTTCCGGAACGATTGATTGTGTTGTTTATATTATAAATCCAGTCAGAATATGCTCAAGGAGGACCCCACACCCGTCTTGAGCAAGTTGCAGTTATGTCCTGCGAGAGCCGGGGCAAATCTGGGCCTGTCCTGTGCGCACTGCGTATTACGATGTGTTGCACTCCATGCCTTTTTGAAGGCACCATCTCCTGCCAAATGGCAAAAGCCGTGGCAACTTGTTTTGGAGATGTCTCACCAGACATACGGAAGAGTACATGCCACATGCACTGAAAATGCGGGTGAGGTTCTGTATCAGATTATATTGAAAGCGGGCAACATCTAGCGAAGAATCATTTCATAGTGGCTAGATCCAATTTGTTGGGTGGTTTGTGAAGGTATTTGATCAACAGGTATTTGATCATGCAAAAATGAGTGCGCCGCCAACCTCCCATGCTACATGCGCATGTATTTAGATAATTAGTGCACCCGCTTTCAAGACCAAGCACACGAATGACCACCGGCACGGCCGCTGCGGCCAGATTCCATGGCTCTTGGAGTGCTTGAAGAAAGGCAGAGACACCAGCATCTACACTGAAGCGGTGGGGGGCCCCGTCTGTGAACGGGGGCTATGTCTAAGGGAAGCGACCTCGGTGACCCTGCGGAAGGCAAGTTGATCTGTTTCCACATGTCAATGTCTCAACTCAACGGATTGAGTTTTTTGTTTTTATGTGTTTTTGAGCCTTGAGGGTGCCTGCACAATCTGGCCATTTTGGCTAAGAACCACCTCCGGTACTATATAATGATGTAGTGGCCATTTAGATCCGCGACGAGAAAATGGGCATCGCTACTAGGAGCAAGGGCGCTACCCCAGGCCGATTCTGAGAGCACCGATTCGTAAAAGTATTTGACAGATGGACTCACATCATCAAGTCAATGCGTCAAGCTTGGGAAGATTTGAAAGAGGCCCATGAGACTTCGTTTTTTTGAGGACCCAGAAGTCCCAGCACTTTGTTCGAATATGTTCGATTCATGTTGCAGGGGTTCCTATCTCGTATTTTGATGTATTTGGGGGATCCTATATATTTCAATTTTAATGGCATGCACCACCTCTCAAGGCAACAGCTCGGACGAGTCAGTTGCCGGGCAGACTTGTCAGGTAACACCCCTCAATTCAACCCAACGTGGCTTTGTTCAAAAATAGGCCTCTTGTTCAAACATTAAACAACACCAATTTCACGTGCAAATGCACACCACATCTGTTGTACTTACATACTTTCACGCTACTCGTAATTCACTGAATTTCAAACGCTTTAACTTTCAACTGGACACGGACGACGCATGTTCATGCCTACGAAGGGTGCACCCAGGCTGTCTCAATGCACCCTTCCTAGTCGACGATGTCTCACCAAGCACATAAATACTGCATGCTTTGCCAAGTATGTGAGTACATGATTGGATTGTCAGGGACACACATGAACTGTGCTCGGATCAGCTCGTTCGAACCCTCAGACGAACACACTTTCGCAGAACACACTTTTGTTTCTCAGTTCGGTCCAGAGACTTGATCTCGTTGCCAGACTCTGGCCAGCCTGGCCAAGAAGTTGCTACAGGAGATGCGGCGGAACACCAAGGCGGAATACCTCCAAAACACGAAGACATGCGAAGAACATCGTGCTGTGACGCGTCATGTGTGTTTACTTTTCTCCAGAGTTTTCCGCGGGGGTTCCCTGATTTGCTGAGGCATACCTTCGAATGTATAGATGTCCTTCAAACATTGTCAAACGGGGACACCTACGGTTGATGGACAGAATCCTGCACCTCTCGTTCTCCGTCTTGAACATTGGAACAAGCATCGTGAGAAAACCAGACATATACTACTTGTAGTTGGATGTCCAAAGTCTGCACATGGAGAAAGCCCACAAGCTTTGAATACCCTAGATCGCTCACCAGAACGCGTTCGCGTTCGTGTCGTTCAAGTGCCTTATATAGAAACAGTGTTGGGTTGACAGCCAAAGAACCAAGAAAGCACGGGATGATTGGTTAAACAATGTTTAAGCCAACTATTGTCTCAAAATATCTAACAACATTTATAGTTAACTTAAACCCTGTTGGTTAAACAACTATTGCTGCCGTTCATAGAAACATTGCGACCTTCACAGGTGTCGCAGAAGTTCTTGCAGCTTGGAGGTGCTTGGAAGCCCAGGGGTTTCTTTCAAGAGCAGGGCTCTTGGTTTCTTCTTTTGTTTTTGTGTTCTAGCTTTGTTGTCAGTATACTGTCAGTATATAAAGGATTGCAATTTGAAAGTCATGTTCATGTTACTTGCATCCTGTTACATTCAGGGGCATGCAATGTCAAGGTCGAAGATAGCTTTAAAATGCATCCAAGGGTGAGCATGGTCAGGACAAACTACAGGAATTCTGCACATAAACATGTATACCGTTGGAGACTGACTCTTAAATGTTGGGAGTCGAGCGCATCTCCACCCTCTAGGCCTTTAAGGTTCATTTCTGGTACAATGTTCACCATTCTTATCCAACCTTTGATTGAATGATCCTGATATCGACTGGGACTTGTGACCAAAGCGGCAGCGGCTACCAAATTTCTCCAGTGATTCGTCTTTTTTCCCGCTCGCAGCAATTCCGGACATGTCATCATCGGAAATGTGAAGTGTAGATTCTCCACACCGCTACTAGGAGCAAGGACGCTACTAGGGGCTCCTGGTATCGTTACGAACGGAGCGATCGGACGCGAACGGGGCTATCGCAGACGAGTTCCCAAAGACTGATGGGGTCTCATAGGGGGCGAGTCACATGGGCCAGACACCCGAGACGAAGACAGATGATCAGGCACCACTGTGAATTTTAGATTTATTGAAATGACCCAGATGTGCGTCTTCTGCCCCTTTCTACGGCTTCGTACTGAGCTTTCCAGATGTTGAGGTTGATGCCTTCCAGCTGGTGCTCTGTGGCGATGAGCAGGCGTTGACTTCCATCCCTGAAATGAACGGATATGGTATGGAGCGGCACTTTCCCGCGGCTCTTTCCCCACTTCAGCACCATCAGATGCATCCAATTTTCGTGTGCAGGAGGGGATTGTGGGATTCACTTTCGATTTGAAATCTGTCAACATTGAACATTGGTTTGACGATCTGTTGAAACAGGCATTGCGTTGGCTTAGCTACTCTTTGGAATCGCGGTTGCCTCGTGGTCTCAAAAGAGCTACGGAAAACCTGACATTCTCAAAACCCACGTGGTCGACTTGGTGACAAGTGGAGGCTTGGTCTGGGCCGGGAGCAAAACGGTGAAGCTAGAGTTGGTTGCCCATTTGTTTTTGCAATTTCCCTTCCATATATCAATGATTTGTTCAGCCTTTGGTTTTGGAGTGAAGTAGATCCGGACACAGGACAACATTGCTTGTGGGCGAACTGAAAGAGAGTTCGAATGACAGGTGACAATCCTTGTTGAAGGATACATCAAGTTACATTGGAAGATTCAGTTGCGATTTCCAAACTGACTGTATCAGCCAAGTTCCTACAGAAGGGTGACAGTAGTCGCCACATGTGGCCACTTCATTGTGCTGCAGGAGGGATGTGTTGATTGTTGTCGCAAAGCAGATTCAGCGCATATGCAGATTGCGTTGGATGTATTGCTTTGCAGGCGAAAGTCCTTCTCCCGACACCGTTCCACCCAGAGTTGCAGGCGTGCATGGAGGGAGAGCAGTTTTTTGAGCCACACGGCACTCCACTCTTCTGCAGATTTACAATCACTTATATAATGTTATATAAGTAGGGCTAACGCCCTGGTGCCGCCGACCCCCTTTTTTTGTTTGGAAGGACCAGTTGCATCAGGACTCCAAACCATCAAGACCAGGATGTTCAGAACTCTCAGGTTCCCTATTTCGTGGGCCACACCTGGGCGATCGGGTCAAACAGGCGAACTGGATTTGTCGAAAGCCGACAGAACGCACTCGACCAGGTGGTTGTTCGACTGACCACGCTCGACCTCTCATCACGTGACCAACGAAGCGTCTGGATCATAGCACATCAAGCGAAGGAAGAGGTCATTTGGACATCAATCACATGCAATGAAAGGATCTTTGAACGATAGCTACAAGCATCTTTGAGGGAGCCAGACAGCATGTGCCACGAGTCACATGTAAGCTGGAAGCAAAAAGAATGGCGCAGTGACGGCCAAAACACACACAATAGACCCACCAAGTCTTTGCCGTAGCCTAGAGCGCGGCGCCAGCCGGCGTTGAAGGGCGCCCGTTGCCCGTTGCCTTGGGAAGCCCATAAGAAGAGGTGCTGCAGTTTCTCAGACCCTGCCGAGAGGGATTTGAAGGGCACCTGGCTTGGCCACTGCCTGAGGTTGCCTTCGAAAAACAGAGGTGCAGGAGCCCAGAAGAAGAGGTGCAGCAGTGTCTCAGACCCTGCCGAGAGGGATTTGAAGGGCACGCGGCATGGCCACTGCCTAACGTTGCCTTCGAAATCCTATAGAAAAAAGAGGCGCAGGAGCCCAGAAGAAGAGGTGCTGCAGTGTCTCAGACCCTGCCGAGAGGGATTTGAAGGGCACCTGGCGTGGCCACTGCCTAACGTTGCCTTCGAAACCCGAAAGAAAAGAGGTGCAGGAGCCCAGAAGAGGAGGTGCTGCAGTGTCTCAGACCCTGCCAAGAGGGATTTGAAGGGCACCTGGCGTGGCCACTGCCTAACGTCGCCTTCGAATGCATAACGTCGCCTTCAGGCCCTATATAGAAAAGAGATGCAGGCCAAGGCGACTGCGCTTGACATTGCAAGGCCCATCCACTGGCAACGGCTTCCACCCTGCGGTGTCCCAGGCGCCGCCCCGCCTAGACGTCAGCTAGGCTGGGGTCGGCGGATATATAATATATAGTTTAGTTTACTTTTTAGTATATAGTGCTTTATAATTATATAACTCATAAGTATTTCAATTGCTGTTTTTCTTAGAATAGCAGCCCTCAAGATGACGGCCACGAAACCTTGCACGGTAAGGCTTCGGGGAGAACTGCCTTCTCTGAACGCTGGTGTCGTTGTCACAAGATGACCTACTCTGCGCGCGTGAGTTGCAGGAGGTGTCGTATGTGTCATGTCACACAAGTCCCCATGTCGCAGGTGGTCCTCTGCCTGATTCTGGCCGAGGTGGTTTTACTTGGTGACGCAGAGGCGGATGTCCAATTTTCCTCACCGAATTTTTGTTTACCGGTAAACGCCTGCAAGCAAAACCGACATTGGCATTGGTTTGGCATGGGTTTGCTGTGAACATGTGTGAACCATGTTCCTAAGAAGAATCACATTCTCGGAATCGGTCTTTGTATTCTTAGCAACATACGCACTGTTTGTGTGCAACATCCAAACTCGTTGCATATTGGAAACGAGGTGGCCAGAAAACGAGGGCAGCGAAAAATGGTGGGGCACCGAGCAGGTCCAGACAACCACAGCTGCGAATTGGTCGGTTGGTGTAGAATTGGTCCCAAAATTGATTGAAACCACCCCATAGTCTTGCGGAACTGGAGTCCAAGAATTGAAACACTGCAGTCCAAGAATTGCTTGAAACAAAACCCTCGTGGGCATGAGTTCTATACCAGATTGAGCCACCTTGATTGTGCTACCGTTGATTCAGCAGAGCGGTCTTGGGTTCATCCTGAGCTCAGCTGAGCTGAAACCAAAGTTCATCAGTCGGTTCAGCTTGAGAGGGGTGGCTGAATTGATTGAACAATGTTTGCTGGGACTATTTTCCAGATATCCAGTTTTCCTTGATGTGTATAGAGTATATATACAGCCTACCAGCGTCAAAAAGCGCTCAAGTTTAGATAGACACGGGCCTTTTGGATGAATGCTTCGACACGCCAACATTGCACTGTTCCTATGTTTTTCCGTCTCTGAACACGTCCTGTTTAGCTGTTTGCAAAAAAAGAACGGTTCATGCCATGGTCTTCTGTTTGTCAACACCTAGACCTAGACGTGTGTGCTTAGTGTTATTTTGGTCGTTCAGTCAAGGCGATGACCTTCTTCACCGCCAAAGGCGACAAAAATTCCAGGACCGACATGGACCGTCTCTCCGGGGCGACCGATCGGTTGCTCCGAGTGTCGGTCGGACGCTGAAGCGGTCCGAGCAGGTTGGCAAATGACAGTCCTCGTTCACAGGTTTGTTTGGGGTTGTTCCAAGCCTGAGAGAAGGGGTTGGTGCTGCACTGGCTGCGGTGTTGCATATGTTTCTTCAGAGGTTGTGTTGCTTCCTTCCAGAGCCCGCTTGAAGGTTCTTTAATTTGTTGATTGCATGTGCAAGGTTAGCCAAATAGGTTTGCTTTCATTTTTGCTGCACACAGGCCTGCCTCCCGACGTTAAAGATTGAGCCAACCGCCGGAAGGGGTAAAACTTAAATAGAAACACAACAACGCACCAAGATTCGCATCAATTTGCGACTTGAAAGAATCAGGCCCATTAACCATGGCCCAAGCAGCCGAAACAAGAGCAGACCACTTCGTTGGACAGGAAGCCGAAACCAAAGTCCTGAAGTAGAGATTGTTTTCTTTTTTTCGGATGGATCCATAGCCCGGAAACTGTAAGAACAGAGGTGATCAGAGCATATGAAAATGACTCTGATTTGTGAAAAGAACCCTTGGAAACCAACCGCTCCGCAGCACTGCTTTGAGTGCAAAAGTCCAAGAACACCATTCTTTCGGTCTAGACAAATAGAAGCAGGTTCCAAGCTTAAACATAATTTGATAGAGTGTAAAACCTTTCTGTGCATAAACCGATGACGCTTCTTGGGGGCAATGTTTGGGAACATGACATGATGCGAGCAAGCAAATGGGACTGATGTCCAGCCATCAAGTTGATCAGCAAACCACCAACTGCATGGTCAGCATGATCCATTCGTGCAGTCAGAATCTCGCCAACTTCATAGCGACCCCGCATCCCCAATGATTTTTTTGCAAAAACAATTGCTATATCATGCTAAATCCATCAATGCAAATATTGCCAGCCTGGCAAGCTTTTCAAGCAGAAACCTGAGCACCTTATGAACTCCATTGACAGCTCCAGATCGAGGACAGGGAGTGTCAGCATTGTTTAGCTTGATAAACCAGCTTGGAATGCATTATAATTAAGTATATATGATATATTGGTTTATGCGTGATTATTTAGCTCCAGGGTTTGGAATCTTCATAATTTCTTCAGCTCATAGCTAGCAGTTGGCCTTTAGGATGGGAATGTTGGCCAAGACGACTCGACACTCCGCCAAGTCTGAGCTCGGATCTCAGTGGCTGCCACGATGGGAAAGCAAGATTGACCGACATCAAGCTCCTTCCCTATGTCGCAAGATGGGGCAGGGGACAGCTTTCGCTCATGGTTCCCTCGAGAACGATGATGTGACCAAGACTGATGGAATCTGACAGGGCTTCGCACCGGGCATTTTGTTAGAATTCCATTGAAACATGCTTGAAGCAAGAGAGTCTATTGGGAGCATCGCCCGCAGCCAGGCCCAAGTTGTAAAATCCAGGAAACTCTTCCAGTTCGATGCTCCGTTCATTTTGTGTTTTTTTGCAAAACCATGCCCAAACCGCTCAAAACCTGCAACGGAAAACCACGCCCCACTCATCTCCCCAAAAACGGATCAGATCTGCTCGTCCGTCCACTCTGCCCCTCCGCGCGCTGCCGCGCGTCTCCTCATGTCTCGAGGCAAGCCATCGAGCTCTTGTTCAAGGCCTTGGACGGTGCCACTCGACGACGCTCGACTCTTCCAGCGGACGGTGAAACCGATAGCGACGGACGGGGGCGCGAGGGCAACAAACATGTGAAAGAACATGAAGCAACTAACCAGTTGTTGTTGTTTTTTATATGTGTGAGACCCAAAGGAGGTATAGAAATCACGTGGGTGTTCTTTCCTGAAAATGATTTTCTAGTCTAAACTTGCCGCCGGCCATGTTTAAAGGCAAAAATTGCCTTATGTTTAAAGGAAAACATGGTTTTCCTGAACATTAAGCGACCTACGATATATAGTTTTATTTTTTTACATTGGTTTTGGACGTGATGTTGATGTTGATTCAGCACTACAATCTTCGGAGCAAGAACTATTTGAGCACATCTATGGTCGTCCTGCCTCCAAACATGTCGGCTTGCATAGTCGAACATTCAGGGGACAAAGGCTTCGGATGTTTCGTGTATGTGTGCGCGTGTGTGTGTGTGTGAGGGTGTACAGTGCACATGACCTGATGCGCTGCCCTTCTGAAGAAACGTCTATTTTCTTTTCGCAACCGGCTTACGTGTCATCAAAAATAGCGGCGATGCGAGACCGAACAGAACTCTCTTCGAGCAGACGACTCATTTTCTGGACGCTTACTGACTCGACAGAGGCTCTCAGCAGTTGGCAAGCTTTGCTGTAAGTTGATAAGTTCACTTGCCTATAGCTTCTTGTTCCTAGTAGTAAGGCCAGGAGCCACTAGTAGCGTCCTTGCTCCTAGTAGCGCTGCCCTTTGCTCCTAGTAGCGTCCTTGCTACTAGTAGCGATGCCAGGAGCCCCTAGTAGCGTCCTTGTTCCTACGTTAGTTCTTGGCCCTTCACCTCAGCCACGGGACGCAAAGTAGCTGAGCTGACTACTGGGTCCTTCTGAGCTGACTGCCGAGGACATGAGCATGCTTTAGTTTGGGGAGTGTGGGCCTGAGACTGTGCAAGCCTCCAAGACTCAAACTTCCAATGGTGCAGCCAACGGATGCGCTGAGACCACATAGAGGATGAGTTGGATGGAGATTGAATCAAATAGTTTAGTCATAAGTCATGAACGACGACGCGAAGTGTGTCAAGCGAACTTGCCTGTACCTAAACAATCATACACGAACTTGCTGAGAGATGGACAGGCCGTCTGACAGGCCACCAGACTTGCCGGTACGGTCTTTGACCGGCACCTTCATGTATTGTCCAAGTCTGAAGAGATCAGTAGTAACAAGAAGCTACTAGGAACAAGTGCCACGCTACTAGTAACAGGTGCCTTACTAGTAG